GAGCCGCGGGCCACGATCGACCTGCAGGCCATGGGCGGCAGACAGGCCAGGACGCCCGGCTGCTCCCGCCACACCCCGAGTCGAGCGGTCGGGCGGACCCTCACGGGCCAACGGGCGGACGAGTCGTGCTGGCGGACCCTGACCTGCGAGCGTGCGCGCGGGCGGGCTGGGCGGACGCTAACGGGCGGGCGGGCGTCGCAGCCAGTCGGGTCAAAAACCACTTGTAGGCGGCGAGCGAGGGGGGGGGGAAGTGAAAAGGGGCTGACCTTCTCAAAGGCTCGGAAGTCCACCGGCCTTCTGAGAAGTTTTCTAAACCTTCCCCGAATACGCAGAAAACCTCTCGGAGGGGGCTATGGCTTCTGAGAAGCCCCGCCGCCTTCTGAGAAGGCCTTCTCCTTCTCACTTCCTCCCCTCACTCGCCGCCGAGATTTACATGTAGCTGCCTTGAGGCTGAAGCGCTGGCATGGTGCTCCCTCGACGAGCTCAGCGGGGTGCCGATGGGCCCGACAGGCGTGGCGGCAGAGGGCGTCGGCCCAGCAGGTGCACTGCGCCGACGCCACGCAGAGCGCTCGCTTGAATGCGGCCGACGTCGCGGCGATAGGGACGGACGCGTATGCGCGGCCGCCACCCCCAGGAGTCCCCAAGAGGCTCCCAAGAGGCCCCAGAGGCCCCCAAGAGGCCCGCAAGAGGCTCCCAAACGGCCCCCAAGAGGCCTCAATACTGCCTCCAAGAAGCTCCGAAGAGGCCTCCCACGAGATTCCAACGAACATGCACTAGGCTTATAACCCACAATCCAAGCACGGTCGCGGGATGTGCCATAGGCAGCTGGATAGGAACGGACGCGTACGCGCGGCCGCCACCCCCAACCCTAGTGCAAGGCTCGCTCTGCAGTGGCGACGAGCCGACGCGAAGACTGCTCGAGACCATGGCGTGGCCCACATCTCGAGGCCTGTGGAGCGCCCGCTTGCGGCTGGCTGGGCTGACCGTGGACGCCCGAAGGCTTCTCGGCGGACGCTTTCCGCTTCCGAGGGGCCCGGCGCAGCCACGCGAAGCCCTGGCTGCAGCCGAGCGAACGGGTCACTCCCGAGGGTGTTGGGGCTGCTGGGTGTATGGCGGTCTGCCTTGAAGCCCCAGTTTCAAGGGTTCCCTCGTCAGGTGGACGCAGTGGGCGATCCCGAAACCCATGCGAGCACAAGACCTCCCTCAGCATGCGCTGGTGATCATCGGAGACAGACAGCACATCCCCCTTCACCTTTCCTCCTGCCCGTCCATTCTGGCTGCGCTTACCTTGTGCTGCTCTCCTCGGCGTCATCCAATATACCTCCTGCTCTGCTTGCCACGTGCCTATCGACCCACCCAAGCTGCCTGGCGGTAAACTTTCAGCTGCGTTCCGGTCGGCATGAGGAAGTTGTTCAGCGTCGCGCAGGCCTACTCAGAGAGACAACTGGACGGCAGGCAGCCGACGAGAACGGGCACGTGGAAACGGGAGGGGGGGGGCGCAACGACTGCTGACAACGAGACGCTTCTTCTGTAAGCGGTGGGGATCGCTTGAGGGGGCGGGGGCGACGCAGAGACTGTCCATCAGCCCCCCCCGCTCCTCTGTCTGTGCTCGAACCCCATCCATCTCCACGAACACGTGCTGGGCTGCACCGCCGCTCTTGGCACGGCGTGTGGCCTCCACCCTCCTTTCGGCGGCGAGCGACGGGGGGAAATGAGAAGGCGCTGGCCTTCTCAGAAGACTCGGAAGTCCCCCGGCCTTCTGACAAGTTTTCGAAGAGACGCAGAAAACCTGTCGGAAGGCACGAGGGCTTCTGAGAAGCCCCGCCGCCTTCTGAGAAGGCCTTCTCCTGCTCACTTCCCCCCCTTGCTCGCCGCCGATCCTTCTCACGTCGAAACCCATCACCAATACAGTCGCTGCGCCTCTCACTGTCGCCACTCGGTCACGTTGCTGCGGACGCTCGCTGCGCGCGGTGGGCCACGGGCTCGTCAGCAAGACCTACCGCTAAATCGCATGAGGTTCTGCGACTCACCCGCGAGGCCAGCACGCCCATCATTGAGCTTGGCCCGCGCGGTCCCTGCTCTCCTGTCACCCTCGGGTCAACAGAGGTCTCCTGGATGGAATCCGAGTAGATGGGAATGTAGAATCGCGCCGCATCCCCGATGCATCGGCGCCGCCGGCGTGGAGCTTCTCGGGCTCCACATCGAGCCGCATCGCCGATGCACCGGCGATGCGGCGCGATGCTCCGACCCCAGCTGCCAACCCCAGCTAGAAGACCTGGGACACTTTGGCGCGAAAAGAGGCGAGCGACGAAAAAAAGAAGGGTCTTGCGCAAGCTCGCATAGCGACCTCACGCGGCGGCATGCGCGGGCCGCCGGCGCGGCCCGCCGCACTGGAAGCGAGGGCTCTGCCGCGCGCGACCTCACGCCGGCAACCTGCGACCCAGCGTCGGCGCAGACGATCCCGTTTCACGTCGTCGCTCCGGGAGGCCCAGGCTGCGGAACGGGAAAATGACCACAGCCACTGCTTCTTGTTTGCGCCGCCTTCCAGCCGGCCGAAAAAGCAGCAGTGGTTGTGGTCATCTCCCTGGTGCCAAGCCCAACGGAAATGACCACCACCACTGCTCTGCTTCTGCGGGCTGGAAGGCGACAACAAAAGAAAGGCAGTGGCTGTGGTCGTCTTCACGCCCCGTACAGGCACCCTCGGCACCCTCGGCGCGACCTCACGCAGGCAACCTGCGACCCAACGCTGGCGCAGACGACCCCGTTTCATGTAGTCGCTCTGGGAGGCCCAGGCACCATCCCCTTCCTCCTCCTCCTCCTCCTCCTCCTCCTCTTCCTCCCTGCTCCTCCTCCTCCTCCTCCTCCTCCTCCTCCTCCAAAGAGGCCTTGATCGCCCCGTCCAGCTCGATGAAGTTGACGAAGGCGGTGCCCTTGCAGCGGCCGTCCTCCCAGTGCAGCGCCCGCACGCCCTCGCTGTGGATGGCGCCTGCCGCTCCGAGCGGGAGGCCCACCGACGCCGCGCCGGGCGGCCCCCGCCCGGCGTGCGCTGCACGCGAAGGTGCCCCCCCCCGGGAGACGAAGCCAGGACGAAGACAACTTTGGGTTGGGATGAATCGGGAACCTCTGAGATCCCGCGGCTCTGGAGGACGCCTCGGGCGCCGCGGCCTTCTCAGAGCGTTCCGGAACGCTCTGAGAGCGTTCCGGAACGCTCTGGAACGGACTTACCCTCGTCGTCCGTAGCCCCGCCCGACCCTCTCCCCCTCGACACGAAGATCTGCAGGAAGACCTGGAGGACGATCTTGAGAGTGATCGGGAGGAGTCCCTGGGAAAAACCTGGCGGCACAGCTGGAGAAAGGTCTGGCGGCAGATCCGGGATAGCTCTGGAATAATACCCGAAGAACTGCCCGGCGAACTGCGAATCAGAGGGGAACGAAAAGTGACATAAACGTAAAAACTCGGAGGTCCGCGCGGATTTCTTGGATCCGCGCTGGAGCCCCCTAGCGGCGCCTCCGGCGCCGCCCCTGGCGCGCTCCGCGCGCCAGGAAAGGGGGGTCCAGCGCGGATCCAAGACATCCGCGCGGACCTCCGAGCTTTTCTGTTTATGCCATGTTTCGTTCCCCTATGATTCGCAGTTCGCCAGGCAGTTCTTCGGGTATTTCTCCAGACCTATCCCGGATCTGCCGCCAGACCTTTCTCCAGCTCTGCCGCCAGGTTTTTCCCAGGGGCTCCTCCCGATCACTCTCAAGATCGTCCTCCAGGTCTTCCTGCAGATCTTCGTGTCGTGGGGGGGAGGGTCGGGCGGGGCTACGGACGACGAGGGTAAGTCCGTTCCAGAGCTGGGCAAAGAGGCCGGGCCACCTTCTGCGAGTTCGCCCACACGAGCTGATCAGCTTGAGATGTCCAGCTCGGCAGAGCGGGGCCCGCCGCGGCCCTCCGGGGGCCGAGGGCTGTGCAACCACTGCTCGACCCCCCCACCTCCCCCCCACCCCTTCTCCCCCTTCCCCACCTCCCCTCCCAGCTCCCCTCCCTCGATCCTCCCCTCCCCCATCTCCCCCCTCCTCGATCCTCCCCTCCCCTCCCCCATCTCCCCTCCCTCGATCCTCCCTCGACCCTCCCCTCCCTCGATCCCCCCCCCCTTCCCCCCACAGCCCCCCTCTCCACCTCCCCTCCCTCGATCCGGCAGAGCCGAGCTGGGCGAACCGACGCGGGCGACCCCGGCCCTGGCGCAGCGAGCCCTGGCGCACCACGCCCTGGCGAACCGAGCCCTGGCGAACCGAGTGCGTACCACAACAATGACCACCTACCAGACCACCCCAACCCAACCCGAAGACCCGAATTTGACCCGAATTTCGGGTTGGGGGGGGGTACGGATACCACGTGTTCTTTCAACGTTCCCCGACCCCCCCCCACTGGAAATGGAAGGCAAATGGAGGGCTTCGGGTTGGGTTGGGGTGCTTTGGTGGGTGGTGAAACAAGAGTCTTTCGGACCCCGTCCCTCAGGGCCGTATCTTTGCACCGCCGACCTCTGGGCACCGAGCAGCCGCAGAGGCTCGGCCAGAACTCGTGCGTCCGGCGCGCCGCATGGCCCTTGAGGTCCAGAATCGGCAGGCCGAGGAAAGCTCGGTGGGCGCGAGTCCGATGATTGGCGGCGCGCAGGGGGTAGGGGGAAGGGGACAAGGCTTCTTAGAAGGAGGCTGCTTCTTAGAAGGCGCAGGCCTCACAACTACGGACAATGCACGGCCTGCGCCTTCTAAGAAGCAGGAGTGCTTCTAGGAAGCCTGACCTCCCCCATACCCTCTTCTGCGCGTGGCCGAGATGAGATAGAGACGAGGCAATGTTCCCGGGTAGCTCTTTGACATCTATTGCTTAGGTAAAAAGAAGCCGGCAAGCAAGGGTAGGCCAAATTCCTCTCCACGGCTGCTGGTCAGGCATCCCCGCAACGCCCCCCTGGAGCTTGCAACGGGTTCCGGAAGCGTTTCCCTACTCGTTCCCAATGCGTGCGCCGCAAACCTTTGCGCAACTCCTTCGCAGCGTTTGGTGGTCTCGCGCGCATCTCCCACTTCGAGCTTGCAAGCTTCCCGGGATTCCCTTCAAACCTCCTGGCAAACGTGTCCCATAAACGTGCCGGCTACTCGGACTTCCTCCTGCGGCGCGCCAGACCGCGCTCCTATCCAGGCTCTGGTTGCCCACGTTCGCTTTCTGATTGAAGGGGCCCCAGGACACACAAATAAATACACACACAAATGAAAACATTCCCCATATTTTCCTATATAACTATATATGTATATATACACATATATATATATACATATATATATATATATATCCTTTTTTTGGGGGGGGGGTGTCTTCCCCCCCCACTTCCCATATTTTGGTCTGTGTGTTTTTTCCCCTCCTGACTGATGCTGCTGTCTGGAGGCCTGGCCAGGGCGTGCCGGTGAGCGCCGGGTCTGCATCGGCATCGACGGCTGGGGGCGGCGAGGACGGCACGCCCGGCGCGAGGAGCTCGCGATGGCGGGACCCGAGACCCGCCCCTCCTCCCACGCCGCTTCCCGACGGCCCCGGGGCCCAGGGAGGGGGCCTTCCCGGAACCCGGAGAGGGTGGAGAACCTCATGCTCCGTCTCTCTGTTGAGGCTCCTCTTCTCCTGCACGGTGGCTGGAGGCAGCAGCAGCGGGAGTCCCGCCAGCCCCTCTGGGCGCAAGCTGGGGCTCCCTCCTGCGGGGCCCCTCTCTCCTCTGCCTCCTCTCCCGCCTTCCCTCTCATCTCCCACTTGTCCCTTACTCCCTCCCTCCCATCCGTCATTTCCTCTCCTCTCCCGTCCACTCTCGGCCTGACAGCACTTGTGTTCAGGGCGAAGCCGCGACGTGTAACCTTCCGCGCCCTCCAGCACAATGAAACTGTAACAAGATCAATCGTACGGGACCGATGCGTGTCGTATCCCGTTCTTTTCGCGCGCGCCATGGCTCCGAAAGGTCGTCGCCGTGTGCCCTCTGCGCCACCGCAGCCCAAGCCACCAGGCAAGGGGCGCCCAAAGGCCACCTTAAACGAACGTCAGGACACCAACCTCAGCCGCCAGGAAGCCTGCGTCGCCGCATTCCAGAAAACTGGCGGTGCCGTACTCCAGAATAGTGGCGGTGCCGACCGAAGAGTCTCTGCCTACACCAACCTGGAATACAAGCATCAAAACGATCTTGACATCCTTTATCGGCCACATCGCCCCAACCAGCGCAAGCTAAGGGGCGATCTGTGCGGGAAAATCAAATCAGCTACACAATGCTGCATTACTCCCCCACGCGCAAGACGGGCTCCAGCCTCGAATCACCAAGGTCCACAGCTTCCGCCGACGCCCACCAGGTCAACGGCATCGCCCCACTCATCGGTCTCGATGCACTCAACTGGGATGCCGCCGTCGCACTCGCGTCGAACGCATCGGAGGACGGGGCAGTCTGCGCCAGCAGCGTCTCGCTTCGCGCGCCAGAGGCGGGTACCTGACTCGTCTGCCGGCGAGATCCACTCTGGCACTGTCAGTCCTGGGACCGATCAAGACCGATCACCATGGGACAAAGACCCTGGAGCCCTTCCTCCGTAAAGTGGCAAAAGTTACCCGGCCCGCGTCAGCACACGCGTCGACGGGGCCATGGACCCATCTAGCAGCTGGGCCGCGCCGAGGTCAAGTGCCTCCAAAACGTGGTTCGGGCATTCCTCGACACAGCCGACAGCGTCACCTGGGTTCGAGGCGCCGTCTGCGAGGCTGACGCCATCGCTGCCACGCCGACGCTGGGCTGGAAGACCTGCCCACCACCCATTTTCAGGCGCTGCCGCCATCTACAGCACCCCACCCCAGGAGGCACGGGCACGGCTCAGACAAAAAGCACGAGCGCCAGACAACCAAACGCGACAGCACGCCAGGTTTTCAAAGCCCAAAAGATTGAAAGCCACATGGGTAAACAAGGCATCAACGAAAGGCGCGTCACGCCAATTGCTGAAGCCATCAACCGCCACGTCGACGAGCTCGCCATTGCCTGCACACGCCTGCACGCCCTTCCACCAGGCAAATTTGCCGCTGTCCTTCACTGCGCGGCCGTCGCCTTCTATGGCCGTCGTCACCAATCAATCCGTTTGCCTGAGCAGTCTATGGCTGAACTCAACAAGATGCAGCCCAGCCCTCTCACCACAGACCAACGCGGGAACGAGCCACCGGGCTCATCAACTGGCCCCGACCACACAGACGGTCCTCAACTACCGTGACGGGAACGAGCTGGGCTGGACCCGCTCGGGCTCGGTGCCTCCATGAACGACGGCGACGGTGGCGACCAGCGCAGTGACCGCGCTCACCCGCACGACGCGTGCCGATCGTGTCTCCACGGGCAGGAACAGGCAGCTCGCGATCCCCCCAGTCAGGCCACCCGCACCAGCTTCCGCCGCCAACACGCCAGCTCCTCCCCCCATCGAGGCACGGAGAGCAGCGAACGGCCAAGCGCCACCACCGGCACAGGGGACGGATCCTCGAGTACCCGGTGGTCCAGCCGCAGGCAAACTCTCACGCAGCACTTTACGGCTGCCACAGGGCGACGTGGCGACGACCGTGAATCGGGCTTCTTCGCTGGTGTCAGCGAGCTGCACTCACGAACCAGCCATCTCGCCCAATGCCTCCAGCGCGTCCACGAACAATCAGCTCCGCTGCTTGTCAGGTTTCACCGTCAAACGACCCGGGACGACTTGCACCAGGCCTTGCGGCCTGCCTCCTCCCTTGGGGCATCCCTCCAGGACAATCATCAGGCCCTCCTTGCTGCCCAGCATGCGGCACACAAGTTCTAGTTGGCCCCGGTTCGGTTGCCCTCCTGATGGGCGGCTGCGGGGGCTGCCCCAAAGCGGCGCCGCTACTGCCAAGGCGCCGCATCACGCATGCCAGAGCGCGTGTGTAGCCGGCGTCTCTCTGCACGTGGGTGTGCAGACGGAGTGTGTTCCACGCTCTGATCGCCAACCCCCGCTTTTTTTTACAGTCGGGGTCCCCACAGACCGCGCACGGGGGGGGGGGTAGCCTCCCCACCCCTGCTCGCACAGCGGCACCTCCCGCCACATGAGGTTGGCGCGGAGGGCGCTTGCAGCCCTCGCGCCAGACGGACTTCGGCTCGTCGAACTGTTGCGACCTCTCCTCTCCTCTCCCTCCTTCCTCTCCTCCCTCCCTCCCTCCCTCTCTCCTCTCCCTCTTCCCTCCCTCCTCTCCCTCCGCCCCTGGTCACAGCCCCTCTGCACCAGCCCCCAGGTGGCGGCCCTCTGGCCAACGACGGATGACAGGCGTCCCCCCCGGCGCGCCGAAGGGGGAGAAAATGTCATACAGGTCCTTGTCGCTGGTGTCATCCGGAAGGCCTCCGCCAATCGTTCACTCAGGAGGAGGAGGAGGACGAGGAGTTGGCTCTCTGCACAAGACTGCGTCGCTGCTTCAGTCCATGGGGTCCACATGTGATAGCACTGGCCGCCATGAGGCTGTGCGCTCCATGCCGCGACTAGGGGGCGGTGATGATTTCCAACTGGTTTGCTGCCTGTGCTTGTGCTGTTGCGAAGATCTGGGGCCTCCACCCAACGCTGCCCATCCGCTCTGGACTGCTGTTCAGGCTTGCGCTGAGTGGTGTTGAACAAAACGGTTGAAGGGCGAAAATTGTGCCACGGTCGAGGTCGCCGCCAACGCCCGCTTTCCGCTTTCGCTTTGGAAAAACACTGCCATTTTGGTGCAAAGCCCTGTTGTGGCCAGCCCATCATGTCTGTGACACTACTGGGACCCTTGGCCTGCTCCACACGCTCCTCTCACTAACGCACTTAAACATCGCTCTCCTGCTCTTTCTCATCCTGCTTGTGCTGCTCCCGAACGTCCTCCTGCTTCTGACCCTCCTGCTCCTCCTGCTCTTCCTCCTCCTGCTTTTAACGTTCGCCAGACTCTGAGCGCCAGGGCCAGCAGCGTTCAGATGGAAAAAACGAGCAGGTGCAGAGTACAAAACAGACTTTGGCGATGTGGCCGACATATTAGACTTCGGTGGGCGCAGCAATTAACACAACAGGCAAAGAGAGTCAGAGGATTATCTGCCACCGATCCGCTGGGCACGGAGTGGGCGTGTCCTCATGTCCTTTAGCTAACCCCTCAAGCTTCAGTCCTCACGCTTGAGGACTCTTTACGGGGCCCGGACCAAAATCAAACTCAAATCTACTGGGGTTTCCCGTGTGGTTTCGCATGTCTGTTCGGGCCCAAGAGGGCCCGAAGTCTGGCCAAGAGGACCCCACGAGGCTCCCAAGACGGTTCAAGAGGACCCCGAGTCGCCGAAATATCGTTCCAAGACGCCCAAGATGGCCTCAAGATGGCCTAAGCGGCCTCCAAGACGCCGCAAGAGGCCTCCCAAGCGGGCCTCAAGAGCCGAACATAATTGATTTCCCATAAGTAATTGAAGGATTTTGGCGTTCTCGCCTCTTCGGCTTCTCGACGCTCCAAGACGGCCAAAGAGGTCAACAAGATCGCCCCCCTGGACGGCCCACGAGGCCCCCAAGGGGACCCCAAGGCGGCACAACAGGGCCCCGAGACGGTCAAAGAGGCGCCCAAGACGGCCCAAGAGGGCCCCACCCCAAGACGACCCCAAGTAGGGCCCAATAATGGGAACACGGACAACAAAAATCTAGCTTTCCGCCCGAAGATGCCCCCAGGAGGCTCCAAGAGGCCCCCGAGAGGCCCCAGGAGGCCCCAAGCTCCAAGAGGGCCCAAGATGACCTCCAAGATGGCTCAGGATAGCCTAAGGGGACTCCAGGTGGCTCCCAAACTGCTCCTAGAGGCCCCGAGACCGCTCCAAGACGGCTCGAAGTGACCACGGCACCTCCCCAGGAGGCCGCCAAGAGGTCAGGATCCTTCAACAATCTGAAGCAAATCAATGAATTTGGCCTTCTCGCCTTTGCTTTCGATGGCCTTCCGGGACCTCGAGATGGTTCCAACAGGGCCCATGAGGGCGCCAAGAAAGGCCCAAGAGAGCCCCAAGACGGCCCCAAGAGCGCTCCAAGAGGGGTCGAATAGACGAGCTTAGGCACTCTAGAAGGGCAGGGCTAATTAAGTACCACCCATTGTTTGATCGACCTCCTCCAAGATGGCTCCAAGAGCGCCCCCAATGCTCCCAAGAGCGCCCCAAGAGGGCCCCGAGACGCGCCAAGGAGGCCCCAAGATGCCCCCAAGAGACTCCCAAGAAAGCCCCAAAGAACCCCCAAGAGGCTTCCCCAGGCACCCACGACGCTCGAAGAGGCACCGAGGACCGCCAAGAGGCTAAGAGGCACCCAGGACCGCCAAGAGGCTCAGCATCGTCATCATCACGGACACCGCCATCCTCCTCCTCCTCCTGCTCCTCCTCCTCCTCCTCCTAATCATCACCATAATCATCATACTCATCATAACCATCATCATCATCAACAACATCAGCATCAGCATCAGCATCAGCATCAGCATCAGCATCAGCATCATCATCATAATCATCATCATCATCATCATCATCATCATCATCATCATCATCATGATCATGATCATCATCATCATCATCATCATCATCATCATAATCATCATATTCATCATCATGTTCATCATCATATTCATCATCATGTTCATCATCAGATTCATCATCATCACCACCACCACCATCATCATCATCATCATCATCGTCATCATCATCATCATGATCATCATCATCATCATCATCATCATCATCATCATCATCATCACCATCCTCAGCATCCTCATCATCAACATCGACTTTATCACCATCCCCACCATCATTCGAACATTCGCCACCCTAGAGAACGCTGGCACGGCGGCGGGTCTTACCGCAAGCAGGCCGATCTTTCTCATCCTCCCCCTCCTCCCACCCGCGGCTCACCGGGAGATGAGTGAGGAGGCGTTCCGGAGGAGGAGGAGGAGGCGGAGGAGGAGGAGGAGGGAGGAGGAGGAGGATGAGGAGGAGGAGGAGGGAGGAGGAGGAGGAGAAGGAAGAGGAGGAGGAGGAGGAGGAGGAGGAGTGACCGTGGCTGGAAGGAGGGCTGCGAGAAGGGCAATCCCTTTCCGAAGCTGGCCCTCCTCCGATCTTGCCGTGAACCAAAAGGGTTCTGAAAGAAACGGGTCCAAGATCCCCTGGCGCTCCCCGGGACCAGTTCTTCATCCCAAACCATGATCTAAACGCCCCAAGGCCCAAGGAAGGCCCTGGGAGGCCGATGACGACAGAAAACGTCGGGACCCCAGACCACTTCCCCTTCCCAGACATGCGATGTTCTAACTTGTCAGAACAATGCACGGGCTCCAGAAGTCCCTACCTTTTCCCCAGGGCCGATTTTTCATTCCGAGTCGTGCTGTGACAGTCCCGAGGCCTGGCGGAAGGCCCCGGAGGCCGAAAACTATAAATTTATGCTAACGGGGTTCCCCACATAAAGATATTAACGGTTTCGTAGGACCCATGCGGTACGACAACATCAACACGAAGGAGAAGCTCATCGAACGAGTAAGTACGCACGAAAGGGCAGACGAAAGACAGGAGGGAGGACAGGTGCTCAGGAAACGAAGCCTTGTAAATAGTACGGTTTCTTGATACCCTCCTCGCTCTGGCGGGGCCCCGCTGGAAGGGGGGAGGGCTACGAAACCTAGTAAAGAGTAATGCTTTCCGCGACCCTCCTTGTTCAAGCGCGGCCTCTCTGGAGGAGTGGAGGGAAGACACGAAAGCATGTAAATAGCATGGGTTTCCGATGCCCTTCTCGCTCAGGCGGGGCCTCCCTGGAGGGGTGGGAGGGGCACGAAACCATGTAAATAGTATGGGTGTCCGATACCCTCCTCGCTCAGGCGGGGCCGCGCGAAACCATGTAAATAGTATGGGTTTCCGATACCCTCCTCGCTCAGGCGGGGCCTCCCTGGAGGGATGGGAGGGGCACGGAACCATGTCAAAAGTATGGGTTTCCGGTACCCTCCTCGCTCAGGCGGGGCCTCCCTGGAGGGGTGGGAGGAGCACGAAACCATGTAAATAGTATTGGTTTCCGATACCCTGCTCGCTCAGACGGGGCCTCCCTGGAGGGGAAGGAGGGGCACGAAACCATGTAAATAGTACGGGTTTCCGATACCCTCCTCGCTCAGGCGGGGCCTCCCTGGAGGGGTGGGAGGGGCGCGAAACCATGTAAAAAGTATGGGTTTCCGAAACCCTCCTCGCTCAGACGGGGCCTCCCTGGAGGGGTGGGAGGGGCACGAAACCATGTACATAGAATGGTTTCCGATACCCTCCTCGCTCAGGCGGGGCCTCCCTGGAGGGGTGGGAGGGGCACGAACCCATGTAAGTAGTATTGGTTTCCGATGCCCTCCTCGCTCAGGCGGGGCCTCCCTGGACGAGGTGGGAAGGGCACACGAAACTATGTAAATAGTATGGGTTTCCGATACCCTCCTCGCTCAGGCGGGGCCTCCCTGGAGGGGTGGGAGGGGCAGGAAACCTTGTAAATAGTATTGGTTTCCGATACCCTCCTCGTTCAGGCGGGGCCTCCCTGGAGGGGTGGGAGGAGCACGAAACCATGTAAATAGTATTCGTTTCCGAAACCCTCCTCGCTCAGACGGGGCCTCCCTGGAGGGGTGGGAGGGGCACGAAACCATGTAAATAGTATTGGTTTCCGATACCCTCCTCGCTCAGGCGGGGCCTCTCTGGAGGGATGGGAGGAGCACGAAACCATGTAAATAGTATGGGTTTCTGATACTCTCCTCGCTCAGGCGGGGCCTCCCTGGAGGGGCGGGAGGGGCACGAAACCATGTAAATAGTGCGGTATTCCGATACCCTGCTCGCTCTTGCGGGTATGGTATGGTAAGGTATGTATGATATGGTATCGTATGGGTAGTTTGGTATGGTATTGTTTGGTATGTGTGGTATGGTATTGTATCGTATGGTAGGTATGCTATCGTATGGTAGGTATGGTAGGGTGTTGTATGGTAGGTATGGTATGGTGTGGTGTGGTATGGTACGTATGCTACATAGTATGGTTGGTATGGTATGGTATTGTTCGGTATTGTGTGGTATGTATGGTATGGTATGGTGTGGTATGACATGGTAGGTATGGTATGGTAAGGTATTGTTTGGTAGTGTGTGGTATGGTATGGTATGGTATGGTCTGGTAGGTATGGTATGGTATGGAATGGTAGGCATGGTATGATATGGGAGGCTGGAATGGTAGGCATGGTATTGATATGGGAGGCGGGAGGGAGAAGGAGAGGATTTTCTGGGAAAGCAAGAACCCCACTCAGGACGTGGGGAAACGTCGCCCGCTGTGTTTTTTGTCCGCGACGCTACCAGGAAGCTGGAAACATAAATGGCTGAATTCACATGCGGAACATCTGGAAGCCACTTGCTGGATACTCATGTGTAGGATCACCGTGCCTGGCCACATGAGGGCCGAGGAGGCCACGCAATGTGTATCCAACTTCCTAGTATCGGGAGCGGCCAAGAGGGGGGTGTCCAAGAAGAGGGGGGGGGGTGCAAATCATGACCGGCGGCATGTGCGCGGCCCAGCGGGGGGGCCAGGGACGTAATGAAATGAGATGAGGCGCCATGAAATCTGGGGAAATAGAATGGCCCCCGCCATGATATCCACCCCCCCCTAGTCATCACCCCCCTCTTTTCCGCCCCCGATGATAGCATGTCGGGGTCACCTTCCCGGTCACCTCCCCCGATCCCCGCCTTTGATCACCACCGTCTTGTCGTTGTTCGTCCACCGGCCTCCAGGAAGGGTGTTCGCCGCCTCCCTGCCCGGCTGCTCCGAGCCCACCTCCTCATTCTCCTCCTTCTCCTCTTCCCCCTCCTCCTCCTCCTCCTCCTCTTGCTCCTCCTCCTACTTCTCCTCCTCCTCCTCCTCCTCCTCCTCCTCCCCTGCCTGCTTCCTCCCTTGGTCCTCCCTCCTCCTCCTCCTCCTCCTCCTCCTCCTCCTCAGCCTCCGCCTCCTCCTCCTCCTCCTCCTCCTCTTTGACGCCTTTCACGCCGCGTGGGCGAGGGGAGGCCCAGGTAGGCCAGCCCCTCACCGTCCAAAAAAGAGAAGCGAAACCAGCAAAAACGGCCCCGAGCTGCGGACGAATTGAGGGCATCTCGAAACGGCCGCCGGCGGAACAAAAAACCGCGACAGGCCGCCGGCGGAAAGCGTGACACCTCGCCTCCTCGATCCCTCGCCCTCGACCCTCCCAGGGCGCATGGCCTCGAGGTCGGCCAACTGCTCTACAACCTGGGAGGTAGGGGGGGAGAGGTGAGGCTCGCCTGCGGGGTCGGGGGGGAGGGAGCGAAGGGGCCAAGGCCGTCCCGGCTGCTGCCCTCCTCCTCCTGGCAAAACTCCCCGTTTTGATTTGCCCAACTCCCTGTTCTTAGTCTTAGGGTCTGGGTGGCATGTCGGTTCGCGGAGGCGCACGGCTCGGGTGGCCGCCAACGCCCCACACTCCACACAGAAGATGACCGGACAGCCGGTGTTCTGCACATTGGCTGTCCAGAGTTTGTGCTCATGTCCTGGCGTGCGTGCCGCCCTAAGCACATCTTTCAGGAGGGAAAGAAACACACAGACACAATTAATCGTCGATTCCCCAGAAAATATGGGAAAATATGGGAAGTGGGGGGGAAGACAAAAGCCTAGAAAATATAAGAACATATGGGGAATTGTTTTATTTGTGTGTGTATTTATTTGTGTGTCCTAGGGCCCCTTCAATCTTGCATGCTACCCGAGAAGGCTCGGCACGCCGTTCTCGATAAGAGCTGACTCCCCTTTCGGTGGCACGTGACACCGTGCCACTCCCCTCGGGCCCGCACCGCGGTGTGCGGTCGGGCGGCAGGCGGGGGCGGGGGGCGGGGGGCGGGGCGCCCTCCCAAATGGTACCGTACGGCTCTTTCGCGGGCGGCCAAACGTCTAAGATTTCGAGCACTGCTTTAGCAACACTCTCGAAAAACTTTGTGCATTCCTTGTACTCTTTTATACCACGTGCTGACCGGTTATTTTCGAGCGCCGCCTCCTTCGCCTGTGCATCAGCGTGGGCGTTATCTCGGATCATCAGGAGATCCTGCGGCGACGAGGCGTCAGACTCTGTCAGGTGAGCCTTGACCTTATCCATTATCGCTCGCAGTGGTCCTGTGAGTCTCCAGAATGCAGCGGTCGCGTTCACATGGCTCTTAGCTCTAATCGGGTCGGCAGCCTCATCTACTAAGGCCTGGCAGTTGAGTGGTAGTCTCAGTACGCAATCTGCAGTGTCCATTGGAGGCCATCATCCCGAAGTGCTTCTCCTCCTCCTCCTCATCCTCCTCCTCTCCCGTCTCCTCCTCCCAGTCATGCTTGCGCCGCGAAGACGTTACGACGGGATCTTTTGGGTCTTTTTCGGCCTCCAGACTCGGAATAAACAACCGGCCCTGGTGAAAGGGTCGTGACTTCTGGGGATCACGTATTGATCAAATCAAGGCATCACGGGTTTGGGTTTTCCTCCTTGAAGACCGAAGACTGCGCTTTCCGATGTGCTCCAGGCATCCCCTCCCCTCCCCCTGGTTCCCTCGCCTGGCCCCCCTCCACCGCTCAAATCCCCTGCTCGCCCCCGGTCCGCTCCCCTCTCCTCCCAGTCAGCTCCCTTCCCCTTTAATCCCCTCTTCCGCGTGGTATGCTAGTTCAAATGACAAGCCGACCCACAACACCTGCAACGACCCAGGTTTCCGCTGAAATGACCCTGCAAATGTCTGCGATCCCTCCGCCCCCCCCCTCATCCTCCAGGGACCTTCATTCTCACGACAGCTTGCCTGATATGAGTTTCGGCGTGGGGAGTTTGAATACGCGAAGCGTGCTTGTCTCGAACGAAAGAGGACCCCAAGGCCAAGCATACCCATCTGCTGTTGTTCAGCTGACACCCTTCTCTGAGACGTGGAGGTAGGTCCGTAGAAGAGCCATTCTCACAACGGCGCTAAAGCAACTGCACTGACTCAATGCCTGTACATCTGAAGATCTGCAAATCATCGTCTGCCCGATATGATCCTCGCCAGGCCATCTCCATTCACTCCTGACACCCGCAAGCCCTACGCAAGGGATGTTTCGCTGCCCGTCCCCGGCCCTCCATCAGCATCCTCTTGATCGTCTGCACACCGCCCCCCATGCCACAGCCCTTGCCTCCCATCGCCATGCCGCCGCCGAAGCCCTTGGCGGTAAAGCCACAACCACCTGTGGGGCTAGCAATGCAAACGCTGGCTACGGCCGCACGAAGGAATCGAGTCGTCCTCCTCCTGCTCCTCATGCAGCGGGCGGGCGGGCGGCATCATTGTGTCGCGGGGTCTTGACGCCGCGAATCGCGGCGTCGGATTCTCGTGGTGCCGCATTGCTGTATCGCTGTGTAGCGGCGTCCCGGTGTCGTGGTGCTGTGGTGGCGTGCCGTGCTGTGCGGTCTCGTGGTGTCGTAGTGTGGCGGCGTCGCCGTCACTCTGAACAGGACAGCAGCGCATGGAAGAAATGCGCTGGCCCACCCAGGAGCGCCCGGCTGCCGAGATCGTTGCCGAGTGTTCTCCCTGCTGTCCCGCATTACGTCTCCTGTCTCTCCAGTTCAATCTCATGTCTCTCCAGCGGCTAGTGGGAACCCATGGGGTCAGCGGGCTGGGGAGCGGCCGCCCTAGAAGACGGCTAACTCTCTGGCGGCTGGTGCGGTGCCAGCGGCCCCGACGTGGCCAGACCGGCGGACCGGTGTCTGAGGCTGGCTGTTCCGCTTGGCAGCGGCGCGCTGTTGGCATGGTACACCGAAGAACCTCCTGTCCGTTGTCTGCTACGGGGCCCACGGCGCGACAAATCGACGCACGCGGTGCAGTATACGGGGCCCTCTGGCCGCGTTCAGGCGACGAATCTGACATGAACGCCACCAGACGGCTCCGAGGGGGCACCAAGACGAGAGCCCATGAAACACGGCCCGGGAAGAGTCCAAGAGAGGCCTACACATCGAACCAGACACTTGCGACATCTTATGCCTGCGGCATACTGTATCGTTACGACCCCGGCTCTGGCTTCAGACACCGCGCGGTTCGATCAACCTTAAATGATCGGCGGCTTCTCGACCCGCCAGCAGCCTTCGAAAGTGGCGACAGCTCCGCAGATCGCTATGCTGGCCCCCCAAGCAGCCCTCGAAAGTTGCGACGGTTTCGCAGATCGCAGCCCCCCAAGGACGGCGAGGTCCCGCTCAGATCTGCGCGGTGCCTCACTCCGGACCCACCAGCAGCCCTCGAAGGTGGCGACCGTTTCGCAGATCGCAGCCCCCCAGGCACGGCGAGGTCCCGCCGGCTTGGCCACTGCCGGACTGTTCCATGCTGGCCGATTCCGGGCCACCGGCGGCCTTCCACCTGGAACGCCCGTGCTGGGGTCGCCGCCGCGTCGACAGGACTCGAGCCTGCCGTATCGCCTGATCTCCCGATATGGCCACCAAACTGGCCAAGGTGGGCGAGGATACCCAAGATGCTCCCGCGGTCGCGAGAGATGGCCCAGCGAGGCTCGAATCTTGCCCCAGGATCTCTCTGGGACGCCCCCAGGAAGGACCGCAGAGGCTAGAAACTTGTCCCAGTGTCTCCTCTGGAGTCTCCAAGGTGTCCGCAAGAGGCCCCTATATGACTTTACAGAGCGTTCAACATGGCCACCATAACACGGTTCAGCAAAGAGGAGCGGGTAAGTAGCAAGGTAGAGAGCAGCGCTCACGAAATGTGCCAGCCCCTTGGGGCGCAAGGCCGTGAAGGCTGATGGTATTGCTGGGCTGCTGCTTTGTTTTTTTTGTTTCTCGCTCCCTCTCTCTCTCTCGCCCTGTCTACGTAATGCCTCCTCTCCGAGGCGCCACTGGTTTCAATTTCCTTTCGGCTGTCTGCGAGGGGGCGCACACCGTCGAACAACAACGTCCAGCGGTGGCGATCTGAGCCCCATGTCGCCCCAGACCGCCGCTGGACTCGCATGCGCATGGATGCCGCGGCCAAGTTTGCCCAACGGGTCTCAGGGAGAGCCGGCCTCAACAGACTCAAAGGAGGCAATGGTACCCTTGCGACATTGGGGCAAGGAGAAGTCATCCGCACCCCGCTCACCATCCGCTCCAGCAGGACCCGCAGCGCAGGGTGCGGCTGACCCTCGGCGCAGGCCAGGGCTCCACCCGACCGAAGGCCACGAAGCGGGCGGGCTGGGCGGCAGGGCGCGAAGGTGAGAGGCCACGGATGGGGACGGGGAGGGCACCACAAGGCCACGTGGGCGAGGAAAAGAAAAAAGTCTTATGCGTCGCTTTTTTGCGTCGCTCGCATCAACTCCGTGGCCTCGCGCCGATCCCTGGGGAACCCATCAGGAACCCATCAGGTTACTCCCTCTCCCAGGGTGCGCTCTGACCAGACTTTCGAGGCGAATCCAGCGGTGGCGACGAGGGCCTCCAAAGAGGCCCACAAAGGAAAAAGCGAGGCAAGAGCAGCAACATCGGTACATTTTTCTCCTTTGATGGGGTGGCCCTGCGACGGTCTGTACGCCCCAAGCTCCAGCTCAGGAAGGCTCCGACGGCGGTCCCCCCTGGCGCCCTCGAAGTCGCCACGCTGCAAGGCTGAGCTCTCGAGATT